AGCATTTAGAGCTAAATGCGCTAAATGTGCTTTTACGCGTAAGCAAAAACAGCCCATTACGCGTAAGTGGCAACTTGCTTTTTCGAGTATACAGTCTAGCTGCGTTTCAGTGATCGCCGATCGAGATTTCATTTATTTTCTTACATATTTGGGTAAAGAAAAGTTACGCAAATTAAACATCGATATGATGCTGATAGAAATCTGGATTAATTTGTGATCAACTCTGTTTGTTTTGTTTCCTAATTAAGTGTAGAAATTATAATTGACAGCACCGACAAATGAATATATACACAAACAAATGTTTGGTTATGGTTAAAATAATTCAAGTTTTTGTATTGAATTTTCGGTTTAGAATTTATTTTTTCCTTTTCAGTAGGGATTTTTGGACATTATCTTTTCCGTGAGAATTTATCGTAATAGATACGGATCTGAATAAGCGACTGGAACACGGCTGTTTGTCAAAAGCATACGATTTCGAACTCGCGTAAATGTACATTTGCTAAATGCTATAGCATGAACGCTCTTCGAAAACATATATTCGAAAGTGCTAAATGTTGCTTTTTAAATGCAGCAAAAACGCTGCATTATGCAGTCTCTTATTTAGATGCGTATATATTACGATCAATTCTCACGCAGAAGATAATGTGCAAAAACCCTACTGAAAAGGAAAAAATAAATTTTAAACCAAAAATTCAATACAAAAACTTGAATTGTTTTAACCATAACCGAACATTTGTTTGTGTATATATTCATTTGTCGGTGCTGTCAATTAAAATTTCCTCGCTTAATTAGGTTTTGAATAGAAGACACCACATTGGCAACGCATGCATTGCCGCAACTGATAAAAATCGCCCAACTCTCTACTTTTGACGCGCGTCAATGCGGCAAAACAACAATGTATGGAACGAATTCAAACCAGCTGACTTTTGACCAATCAAAATGAGCCGTTTTGTTTGCGGCAACGTTTTCATTGTGGCGCCTCGCAATGTTATGTGCGTCTTGACAGTCAAAAGCATCCCTGTGACGCAGAAAATAATTTCTATCTGGCGGGGCCTTAACTCGACAAATGTTATAATGGGTATTTACACTTGCCTGGTTATTAGGTTATCTGGTTTAAAATTAGCAAGTGCGAACAAGCTCATACACTACGTTCTTTGGTATTTGCTAAGCCAACGTTAGAAAATGAGTATTTGCAAACATTTGGAGTTCATATAAGTTGTTAAAAACGTAAAAATTATCCTAATAAATTTCATTATTTTCATATATTACAAACATATGCCTTTGAACAGCTGTTTTTCTTACTGGAGAAATTGCCGCTGGTTAAAAATTTTCCAGCAAGAACTAGCAACTTCCCCTCGAAGTCCACTGGCACCAATTTCCCCAACTTTGCAAGTTTTTTGGGTATGCGAACACCAAGTCGTGATAACTTGCAATAATTATCCACAATTGTCGGCTTGTGTCAAAAAGTGTGTGACGTTCGTAATTTTGAAGCTTGCTATTTCTGTTTTGCTTCCTTCTTTATGTGTATTTTGTCGGTGGTTTATTTCAGTGATTTTTAAGTGATTTTTTGTGCAACTGTAATTAAAATGAAGTGCGCGGTGATTGGATGCAAAAACACGTACAAAAATAATAAATTGGTTAGCACAAACATGTGCATAACATTGCTTGCAGTTGTTCTTTATGCTTCGTCTTACTTATTCTTTGTTTACTTTTCACAGAAAATAACATGGCGCCGAAATTACAAACGTCAGCCAGAAAATTACTTTTTTCTTTTGCTTCATTTTGTCAGATCTGTAGTTGGATCATGAGCTTGCGTACGGAATTTTTCTTTGGAAATGGAAATTTTTCCGACATAGAGGATTATTCGGCGGAATTAACAACACTGCCCTGCATCATGATGTCTGAGCGCGCCACCTGCAGTCAAATATCCGCAGTAAATGTCAAAACGGTCGTCAAAAAGAAGAATTGAAGAATCGCCATTTTGCTTTTTCAGTTTCCCTGAATTTGTGCATGTGTGAAAATTTTAGCCGAAAAAGTGAACCGCACCAAAAAATTAGCGCGGTTTTTTGTGAAAATAATTCACAAATTTAGTGAAATTTTGACGGAAACTCAGTGCAAAACTTGTACGAAACATTCAGTTGTTTAGTTTATAAGTGCGGAGAGTGTTATGAAGTGAAAATAGAACGTTGAGTTCATAGCAAAAAAATTGGCAGCAGCTTAGCAGTGTATTGTGTTCTTGCAAAATGGAAAACGTTGTCGCCTTCAATAATGAGGTAAGTAGCGCATGAAAAAGCAATTATTTTCCATAAATACCGAGCCGCCTAATTTTCAAAAAGTGTTGAAAGAAAAAAATTTAGGATTATTTAAGTGTAAAAGTTGTGACGTACGAATGGGTTCAATTGACTACGCCTAGCACAGGCTAGGCCTGTAGCTTTTTTTTTGCATATAGCGTAGCTCGGCAAACGTGTATCTGGGCAGCGCTGTCACATTTTTTCATTATCCATTCCTTTGGTACTTCTACATTGAATACGCTGTTTGCCCGCTTCCCATTCACTCGGTTTGTAAATAAAGTTGGGATAAATCGAAATGGATTAATAATAAATAAATATAGTATAGTGGCGCAGGCCTTTCTGACACCCTTTTCCTAATTAGAGAATTATTCTTACATTTTCACCTAGTTCTCTTGATATTTTTTAAATGGTTACTCTAGTACTGTCGTTTCTTTAATATTCGATTTAAGTACACATCTTTATCAATGAACATACAGTAAACTTTTGTACCACTTGGGAAATTTTGTTAAGAACATTAGGTCTTGAAGAATCAATCTATTAACAAAACAACTTTTCAGGGTATCAACGTTTGGTTATTAGATAAGTTTCAATGTCGCCCAAGCTTTTTCACTTATGTTTGAGGTTATGCCATGTTTAAAGCATATCAAAGATGTATCGCTAAAGATTATAGCTCTGTCTGGGGACGCACGAGTTTAAGATAGTTCGTAAAAATTGTTACAAGTTATCTTTTGGCGTCTGAGAGAGCAAAAATGGCAGTTGATGTTGAGAGAAGTTGCAAGTTTTTACTGTATAAAAGCTTCGCTCCTCAACTTTTCTGTATAAAACCAGTAAAACTGTCAAAAAGTCAAATTGCTCACGGAGAAAGAGAAAAGTACGGGAACACTTTTCGGGTAAATACTGGTAAAATTGTCTAATACACCGTACGCGCGATTTTTTTATAACATTGCACAGCTGATGGTTGGACAGTCCCAGCTTTTACGAGTAAAAATTAGTACCCACGACCGTCGGGTCTACGTAACCGGAACGACCAAGAATTTTATCTGCCCAAGGACTGTCACTCCAGCAACACTACCCAACAACTCTTTGGAGAGTTTGTATGCTGTACGAACAAAAATTCGGATAAAATCTTGCGACTTCTGACAAAGAATGGAACGGTTTTAGTCCCATGTTTACCCTACACTACCAAAGAACCGAGCACGGAAACGCTTTCTGGTAAATTCTTGCAACCCGATGCGGAAACTAGGTTGTTGCTATAGCGGCTACTCACCCCTCATAAATCGGCTGATCTCTCAATCGTTGTTTTTATTATTTTTTATGAAAGTATAGCTAATTACTTCCCAAGCAGTCCAAATATCAGACTGCAAAAATTATGAAAATTCTGCAAAATTTCACCAAATTTTTTATATTTTTAACCAGAATCTTTAGAAGGAGATTTCGTATGCAGTTTCGTAGGCAACGATTAAATTTTAGAATAATAAAGTGTAAGTTTGAAGTATCTAGGACTTAGAGCCGTTTTGAAATGTCCGGTAAATTATAACTCCCAGTTAAACATCGTTATCGACATCCAGCCTATATTCAAGTTTATCACTGAATCCGTCGTTGTACGAATTTTCGTGAAATCCAGGTAGCATGAAGGTGTAATTGACGACAAAAAGTGTCACCATATTATTTTGACTTTTTTCTGCTAGCAAAGGAGTTTTTATTTTTTATTTTATTTTATTTATCTATTTTTACAGTCTGCTAGACTTATATTACAAAAAAGATTTAACATTCTAAGAATTAGATTTGGATTTAAAATTTAAATATTAAATATGATATGCTTTACGGAAATTTTTAAATAACATTATATCTTTGTCACTGCAGTTATTTTATATCAATATAAAAGCATGTCATTGTCCGGAGGTTATGTAGAAAAGGCCGTATTTCCATTCCGCGCTATACTTTTCGGGTTACTCCGTATCTTGATATCTCCTGGGTGGTCGAAAAGGCCGAGTTTCCGATCCACCCAGTCGCGCTTTCGTGACGGTTGGAAAGGCCTAGTTTCCAATCCGCTCATTTATTGTTTATTATCTAAGGTTTTTAATGTACCCTAGATCGTCGGAAAGGCCGAGTTTCCGATCCACGCTATTGTTCATACATCACTATCCTATAGGCAGCGTTCTACAATAGTCATATAGCAGCCGCTTGAAAAGAGTGATAGTCAGGGCTTAAACAGAATCCATCGTAGCTTCGATTTTTGTGAAATCTACGAAAGTGCTATCACAGAATCCGAATAACTACGAACTTAAATTCGAAATTCGTAGAAAGCCTTCATTGAATCCGTTCGTAATGAAGATTCGTACAGACACTACGAAGAGTTTACGCTGTCGGAGCAACATTTAAAATCACTGAATTTTAAAAATAATGGAAAAAGGCTGCATTATTGTTTGTAATAAATATTTATTATAATCCAAATTTGTTATAGTTTGATATAATTCCATATATTTGTGTAAAGGCAGACGTAAAATACAAATGCCATACATAATACATACATTCATCTGCTAAACGCTATTTAATTAATGAAATTAATTAATTTTTATGATGCGAGGAGATAATAGTTTAACAACAATTTATTAGGAACCTTAATTACTTTAATATCATTAAAATATATATTTTTCTCTTTAAAAGAATAAAATCAAACTAAAAAATCAAATTTATTAAAAAAATAAACAAAAATTAAATAAAAACAGAAAAAAAGCTCCGCTGCCTGACGACTCGGACTCGAACTCGGATCGCTCAACTAGCAGGCTGGTGCCTTGCCCACTTGGCCATTGCGACTTCTGGGGTAGTGTGAGCCAAATGGCATAAGTAAATGTCTATTATTTCTTTTGCACTAGCTAATTTCGATCAGCGTTCGAAGCTGGCAATGATATTTTCGAGTTCACTCGGACTCAGTGACAGCAATTTGTCCGTATTCGTAGCAGGCATTAGAATTCGTATATTTTCTACGATGGATTCCGTGATAGCCCTGAGTATCACAATTTTTATGTGACACAATACTAGTGGGACCCAAAGTCAAAATCAAATTTATATGTATTATAAAGTCCTTTTCTTGCTAAAACGTTCCGCTGTTAAATTTAAAAAGAAAATAGCAAAACGTGGTTGCAACTTAAACAGAAATCAAGTTTCTGCAAGAAGAGTGGCATTTCCTTTAAAAGTTTTAAGTGATGCATTTTTTTGTACTTACAGGAGGAAATATTTTTTAATAGCATGGTTCTGTTAACATTTCCTAAAAAATATCTGCGAAGGGGTTACAGTCGCACATAATTTTGGAAAATAGTATAAAAAAAAATAAAAATTTTCGAAAAGTCGGGTCAACGGGTATTGACGCATAAAAAGGGTTCAGTTGCCCCGTTAGACGCACAACGGCAACACTTCATACACTTTGAATGCATACGTTCATAGTGATTCGGATTTAGTGATCGTATTATCATAGATTTTACTAAATCGGACTAGAATGGTTTCAACGACGGCCCAAATTATGCGATCGATAAAGCAAGCAGTCGATGTGCTTAATTGAAGGATATACATATGTACCTCCAGTTAGCGTTAAATAGACATGGTGCAACGGCCCTTACTGTTGATTTTTGGCAACTTTCTTTTTTTTTTTTGATGATGCTACACATTTTTTCATACAAAGTATTTTCGACAATTATTTTCATACTAAAAAAATTCGAAACACCGTCACCAAAAAAATGAAAAAATTCAACAGCAACCTACTTCAAATCTGCACTTTATTATATTAAAATTTAGTGGGCTATAAAACTGCTTAACAAATTTTTTCAAAAGATACTCATTAAAAACTTGAATTTTGCAGAACTTTCATAATTTTTGCACTAAGTCTGAAATTTGTATTTGTGTATTTGGTATCTGCTAAGTATGCAGCTTTCATACAAAAAAAAAAAAAAACATTAAATAAATTTTAAAAAAAAGCCAAACTCGCTGAAATGTCGTGTGCGAGTTATTGTTTGGGTCACTGTATGTTTATATAAATTTTCCACAAAGAAATAACAACCATGTTAAAAACATAGCAAGGTATAACCGTTCTCTCAATTTGTCGGCCATGATTTTTTTTTTGAAGTTTGCCAACATTTTAAAATCATATAAAAGTGAAAATAAAAAATTTAAATTGTTCGAAATTATTGTTGCTTGAGATTGAAAATGAAATTGTGTTTGTGAGTAAATTTAAAAATTAAATTGTTTGGAAACGTCAAGAATTTTAAAAGTGCCTCTCAGCGGTTCTACCTTACTATATTTTTATCATGATAACCATGATAAATGATAACAACTTCCCATAAAAAAACTTCAACTTTGTCAAGGCGAATTAATATAAGGTGATAGCAGGAGTACAAAAACAAAAATTTACATGTATTTTGTTTTTGCTTTGGCGGCATAAACTGTCAAAATCTGTAAGAGTGTGCGTAGAAATTCAAACAAAATTTTTCAATTTGATATCAGAAGCCGTGCGGCGAAACACATACACAAAATCAGCCAAGGTGTATTAAACAAGGTGGTGTTGGGGCGACAGCTGAGTTTTTCGCCGTGGAGGCCATTACGTCAAAATGATGTGTTTGTTGTAACTCATACCAATGACAGTATGGACATCAGCGTATAATTTGTTAGTGTAATTTTTTACTTATATACGGCCAACACCACCTTGTTAAATACGCCTTGAAATCAGCTGAGCTAGTAACACCACCTTATATAAATTCGCCTTGAACTTTGTGCTCTCAATTTTCCGACGTTTTAAAATTTTCAATCTTCGCGAAAAATCATGATAATTTTTACAAATTGCTTCCTCGACAAACAATTAATTTCTCTTCCCACCATCCATACCATTTTGCAAAGCATATTATTTTTATTGTTACAACAGCATAAATATTTCCCAGTTTAGGAGAATGTTTCTGAAGTGGCAGTTCTTGTTCAGATATAGATAAATCTTGACTGTTCTCATTACATAGACCCTTCTGTCATAGGAATGATGTTTTATTTGTGGTTGTAGCGCCCACTCAGTTCTGCCTAGCCTTGTTGTTGGCCTCGTTATCGTCAAGCTCAAATAAAGGTAGACCCATGAAGTGTGCAACTCCAGCCATCCATAGGGACAGGGCTGTTAGTTGAATTGGGTTTTTGGGGCATGCGAAGAGATGTCTTGAGTCGATGGTTGACTCTCCGCATGCCGCGCTATGGTTGGACATATCTGCATCTAACCTCCGGTTATAATTTAGGCAGAGCGAAGTTAGGCTATGGGCATATGATGTTTTAGTATTACAGTTAGGTTTGGCCAGGAAGGCATGCGAAGCTATCATACGTCAAGGCCAAAGCAAGTTTGCCATTGTGAGTTCTAGGCGGTGGTAGAAAGCTGCTGCAATATTTTGATTTATTTTAATTATTATTTTTTAATTTCGTAGAAACTTCAAGAAAACATAGACACTTAAAGAAGCCATAGCAATAACAGTTTTCTAATCATAGTCGTATGACCTCTAATTTGTATTTTAATTTCTACTATTCTCTTTTTCAACAGCTCTCTAGCCTCTATGAGCAGAAACCGCCTATATCAAAGGCTAAAATGGCAGCAATCACTAAATCGGCTATGCGCGCCATCAAATTCTACAAACACGTCGTTCAAAGTGTCGAGAAATTCATACTCAAATGTAAACCGGAATATAAAGTGCCCGGCTTGTACGTCATCGATTCAATCGTACGACAGTCGCGTCATCAATTCGGACCAGACAAAGATGTTTTTGCGCCACGTTTTGCCCGCAACATCAAGGAAACTTTCGCGAATCTATTTCGTTGTGCTCCCGACGATAAAAGCCGCATTATACGTGTGCTTAATTTATGGCAGAAGAACAATGTCTTTGCTCCTGAAGTTATACAACCGATTTTCGATTTAGCCGATCCCAATCATCCGATTTATCAACTACCACCACCAGGCGCTGCTGGTGGTCAAGGCATTGGTGGAAGTGGTTTAGGTGATATTTCATCGGGTGGAGCCAATGGGCTGAATATATCAAGTTCTTCTATGGACATAAGCATTGGCAATATGAATGCAGCTGCTATGGCAACAGGATCCAACAATATCGATGATAAGCATGGTGGAATGCCGGATTTGTCGGTAAGTTATTGAATTATCCTTTCCAAAGAAATTGCAACCTTCAGAATTTGGTAATGAAAAACTAACGACGTTGTAAAAATTGTCACTCTATCTTTTTCGAAATAAACATGCATACTAACGAATTGCCTTACTTATATCAATCCAACCATACAAAAAAAAAACATGCAAAACAAATCGACAACAAACAATTCTAAATCACTGTAATGCAGTCGATGAGTCATGAGAAGGCTCAGAGCGTACTTGATAACAGTACATTGCGTCAACTGGAACATATGCAGCAATATCTAAAACGCCATAGCGCTGTATCAGCGCCAGTGAGCTCGACCAAGTCAACACGTGAATTGCGTGAAATGCGTGAAACTACACGTGAACCACGCGAGTCGCGTGAGCTGCGTGAATCACGTGAAGGACGCGAATTGCGAGAGCTACGTGAAACTCGGGAACTTCGTGAAACGCGAGACCTTCGTGAAACGCGTGAACTTCGGGAAACGCGGGAAATTCGTGAATCGCGAGATCTGCGCATCGATCGAGATGCACACGAGTACGCACGTCTGATCGATAGCGGCGCAGCTGGTATGAGCAGTCGAAATACCAACAGTAGTGGTGGTGGTGGAAATGGCGGCGCCGGCAGCAGCGGTCTCCCCGGGGCTGGCAATAAGACGCAACACACCGAATCGTATGCAAAATATTCGAAAAGCACACATGAAGTTATAATCGAAGATGATGAGGGCATAGACAACAACTCACCGCAGCATACATCTAAGCTGATTGATGTAATTCTTGAATTGTTACCTACTACTACTTACATACTTTTCGTATAATTGCTGATTATGATTTGCCACAGCCGCATTGCTTAAATATTTTGAGAAAAATTTGATTCACCATTTACGTAATGAGAAATACAGATTAAAGATTTTCTAAGAATTTGTTTTGAGTTGATGCTTTTGTTAAAAAATGTAGTTTGTTCTAAAAAAAAAATTGGTTTAATTTTATCTAGTAGTTACTGCAGCATGCCTATGTTTTACTAAATTGTCTCTTTTATCAGTACTGGAAGAAATACTATCTAAATCTGACTTTCTCATTTTCTGCCTGTTTGCATTTTAGAAGTGAATCTTCTTTACGATGCCACGGGAATGCTCCTGTCTACTTTAATTTCTGCCTCCTTTTCTTGTTGCCTATATTAATATAAAGAGGGATTTATCGAAGCGTTAACGATTAAGATTAAGATTGAGAACAAAGTAGAGATGTATCGAAAGAAGATTCAATTCCTTTGTGTGGCACAGGCGAATTAATTTTTTTTTTTAAATATTTAAGTCCTCTTCTCCTGTATGCATGTTTTTATTTTTACACGGTTATTATTATTATTTTTTTGTTAAATAAATAATTTAAATTTTTTGTTTTTAGAATAACAATCTGCAACAACTACTCAATGATCCCAATGTTTTGCGCCAACTGCAAACCCTGCAAAATTTCCAAAAAATGAAACAGCAGGAAGAACAGCAATACAAAATGAACGAAATGCGCATGCAGGAAGTAGAGTTCGAGAAACATTTACAAAATGTTTTAAAGGTGATTACGTCTTATAAGGCTGTTAACATGGAACCGTAAAAATAATATTTTAATGCTTTTCTTTTTTTTTCTTCATTGTTTCTCTATAATGCCCATTAGACGCAATCTGGTGGTCACAACATTGCCCCTGATACTAACGAGTTCAACAAAGAAGTGGAATTTGTGTCGGTGGAACAGAAAATTGAGGTATATTCCCTTTATTTTATAAATAATTTTATGTTATTGTAATGTTTTAGATGTTTTATTTAACTTATTACGTTACAATAACTTTTTTGACACAATAAAATAGATATATTTCATGCAAATTAATTGAATATAATTGAAATTTTGAAACATTAAGTTATATAATTGCGTATAAGACGCATTTGTACTTTTGTATCACTGGATCACAAATTTTAACTTGGTTTTTGTTCTCCAAACGCCACTATCCAATTTGTATATAGAATCTCCCGCTGATTCCAAAAATCGAGTTAATTTTTTATTCTATGGATACGTTTACGAGATATTTTCAATTCACCGTTATTCAGCTTAAAGCAAAACGTGATTCTCATGAACTAATTTAACAAACTGAAAATGGAATACGACATATCAAAGCCAAGGCGTATTTAACAAGGTGGTGTTGGCCGTATATAAGTAAAAAANTTATTAAAAAGTCTGCGGGACTAGAAGGCTTCATTCAAACTTCTAGCCAAACAGAGTACATTACAAGGCGTATTTAACAAGGTGGTGTTGGCCGTATATAAGTTAAAAATTACACTAACAAATTATACGCTGATGTCCATACTGTCATTGGTATGAGTTACAACAAACACATCATTTTGACGTAATGGCCTCCACGGCGAAAAACTCAGCTGTCGCCCCAACACCACCTTGTTTAATACACCTTGATACATTAGATTTGAATATTTTACTTCACATACAAAACACTCAGAGTTTCGAATTTTGTAAGTTATGAATATACATTTTATTTTAAATTTTCTACCTTCAAATGGAAGAATGTGAATGAATGAATGGAAAACATTCAAACTCATTTCGGTTAAAGTTTTTTCAACAAACAAATTTGTTCGTATTGTAACCATGATAAAAATATAGTAAGGTAGAACCGCTGAGAGTTACTTTTAAAATTCTTGACGTTTCCAAACATTT